AATAAAAAGAAAATAAATTTTTATTATTATTCTATATTCATATGGCCGCCGTCATGGTGGTTCATTTATATAATTTTTAAAACCCCACCAAGCCCACCCATCGGATTCGATGGGCCCTGGCGGGTGGCGGGTGGCGGCTGTGAGCACAGGCAACACAAAAGACCATCATCAATCGTCCCCTTTTGATCTTCGAGCACTGAAATTGCAAAAATCAAAGAAGATGAAACCATTTCTCCCTCCGACGTGACAATGTACTCTGAGGAACTGCCATCCATAACTCTCATTTATTGTAAGTGGGTCTCTCTCTCTCGCTTTATCTTGTTTTTCACTCATTTGAATGTGCTTATTTTCACATCCGTAACCTGTTCGACGTAATGCCTCTGAGAATAATTTACCCTTTTTTTCGTAAAACTTGTGGGGCTGTCTAGTGGGGTTGAGACTGAGAGTGCACGTAACCTGTTTGATATAATGCCTCTGAAAAACACTTCCCATTTTTGTTGGGTTATAAGTTCCAGTGGGTACTGTGGTAGGTGTGGCTGACGTTCGAAACCTGTTTGATGTAATGCTTGTGAGAGACACTGCCGTTTTGTTTATAAAGACTATTGGATGATGAAAGTCCCACGTCGGCTAATTTAGAGAATGATCATGAGTTTATAAACAAAGAATACTCTCTCCATTGGTTGAGACCTTCTGGGAAAGCCCAAAGCAAATCCATGAGAACTTATGCTCAAAGTGGACATGATCATACCATTGTGGAGAGTCGTATTCATCTAACAAACACCAGTGGGGTTGTTGGTGATGGCCATTAGTTTTCAAGAATATTTCTGTTTGGTCTCACAATGTGTAAGAATAGGTTTAAAAGATCAAATGCTGACGGGACATTTTAGTTGCTTGTGTGACTTATTGAATGGAAAACAATGTCCCAAGTGGATTTTGTTTGAAATAATTAAGATATCCTTAAATCGATTAAACACGAGTTCTTGCATGACTTCTACCTTGTGCCCGATTCTGACCAGAGAGGCTTTGGATTCTGATCACCGGCTGGAAGAATGAAGGAATTTTCAATGACCCACATTTCGCCTATCCAGCTTTTGTGAGCTAATAGACTTGATTTAGAGAAAGTTACTCCAATTTTGAGTAGACTTAGTAAAATAAGTGAGTAGACTTAGTAAAATAAGTTACTAACTTTATGAACTTCTATGAGCTAGTAAATGAGCTAGTAAACTTAACTTAGTAGAATAAGTTACTCACCTATAGAGTAATTTATGTGAATTGATGGAGTAACTTTATGTGAATGGATGGTAGATTTAGTAAAATAAGCTACTAACTTTATGAACTTCTCTGAACTAATAAGCTTGACTTAGTAGAATAAGTTACTTATGAAGTAACTTTACGAGAATGGCTAGTAGATTTAGTAGAATAAATTACTAACTTTATGAATTTCTCTGAGCTAATAAACTTGACTCAGTATAATAAGTTAATTACTTATGGAGTAATTTTAGGTGAATTGTTAGGAGACTTGGTAGAATAAGTTACTGACCTTATGAGCTTCTCTGAACTAATAAATTTGACTTTGTAGAATAAGTTACTGACCTTATAGAGTAATAGAGTAATTTTATGAGAATTGTTAGTAGACTTAGTAGAATAAGTTACTAACTTATGAATCAATTTTAAGAGAATTGTTAGTAGTTGTCAAACTGTGGATGTAAGTTTAGTACTTTAGTTAGGAAGATTGTCCGTGATTGTTAACTTGAGGAGAAAGTTTAGGAAACTAGTTAGTGCTTTGTCTAATATAAATACTCATTAGATGTATGTTCTCTTTACAACAACAAACAGAATTGAAAAGTATATAAGTGCTTAAGGTTTCTCCGTTCAAAAGCTCTCTTTCCCCAATTTGTTCCTCGTTTCAGTTGTTTGTTTCAACATATTTTAATCATGGGCTACCTCCAATTGCTTCTAGTTGTATGTTTATTCGAACTGAAACTTCATCTGAGATTTCTATTGCTAAGAGAGTGGCATGAGTCCATCATTTGTGGTTGTCTTTCCTACCAATCTCATTAGCAGGAAACCTCCACTTCATCACCAATGGCTTCTTCAGTTTCCCCTCTTTCTCATTGCCTCCCAAGCTTAGGTAAGGCCTCAAAATCCCATTCAACTCTTCTACTTCGTTTAGGGACCAAACACATCCATTCTTGAAGACAAGCAAGCTCAAAAGGTATTTCTCTAAGGAAAAAGCTATTCAACGAAACCGCCACAATGTAATCTCTTACTAATAACAATTAGATTTGAGTTCGAGAATTTGTATATCCCTAATAATCAAATTCATGATACTTCCATAGTTTCTCTTTCATACTTGAATAGTACAAAACTATTAGCTACTTGTGACAGTCCCTTCAAATAATTTATCCTCTTCGAGACATTTTTTAACCTCTCTTCTGACTTTCTAACTTTAAACCTATAAACAGATTATTCAATAAAGTTACCATAATACGAGTATCATATGGATGTATATTAAAAGATATGCATGTCATTTAGTAACTCCTGAATGAGTTCGCTGAATTAGTGTACCCCTACCAAATAATTGAGAACTTGGAAGAATCAATATGGGGGAGAAAAAGAAAAGAAGTGGCGGTGAGAGTTTACTAACTTCTTGTACTTTTTTTTCTACAATAGTATGATATTGTTGGTTTTACCAAAAAGCCTCGTATCAAATAGAGACGTATTCTTTACTTATATAAACTCAAATAGAGACGTATTCTTCACTTATAAACTCAAGATCATGTCCTTAATTAGCTAATGTGGGACCCTATGCCAACAATCCTCAACATTTATTACGACCCTATGCCAACAATCTTCAACATTTATTACATAAAAAAAAAAAAAAACGGAAATTGTGTGTTGTAATGGGAGACAGAGGGAGGGGATGGCCAAGGCCACTGCATGCCCTATAAGCTGCTAGTGAATGAATGTCCTTATGTACATTATTGTTCATTCAAGTTATGCAATAATTTACTTTGATTATTTTATGTTATATTGTATTGTAGCTATTCAATGATTTTTCTAGACTAGATGATTTCTATCATTTCACTAGACGCTTCATGGAATTGATTCGGTTCATGGGTTGTTGAACGTACCTCGTTTTCAATTTTAACCCTAAATTTTTTACCAATAATATTTAAGAATAAGTAAGTGTGAAAATAAAATTATCCTTTTTTATTTGTCAGATTTATATTATAATTACCACTTGGAAATTCCATTCATGCCCTAAGAGGGTCAAGATCAGAAATCCACCCACATGTTGTGACAGTAGTCCATCAAAAAAACCAAGGAGTGACAGAATAAGGGCATTTTAGTCTTTTCAAAGTGTTCCTTCTGACTTATCAGAAAAATTGAAAACTTTAAAAAGATAATGGACGGAATAATTTACAAACTTTCTCCTCTAAATGAAATAAATAAAACTTTATACAAATATTCTTTACATTATTAATTGTAAATCACAAGTTTGACATTTTCTGTCCGGTCAATTTAACCAACCCAAAAATAGGGTAAGATTATTATGAAGATTAAAAATAATTGATATTTGTATTTACGGTTAGTGATGTGTTTTGACTCCTGAATATTTGATATTTGAGTTTTATGAGCACGTAGTATAGATAAATATAATTTTTTTAAATAATAAAAATAAATAATCCATCAACTCAATCCAATCTAATCCGTAAATAGAAAGTTGGGTTAGATTGGGTTGTGAGCTCTATTTGGGTTGCTCAGGTCACCAATTCAATCAAATAAAGTACACTCCATCTGAGATGATCTCGTAAATGGTTGAAATTTGTTAATGGAGTAATAATTGGGGGCATTAATTATGAAATTAAAATAAATACTAAAAAAATGAAATTAAATTAGGAGTTGCTTGGTACTATAGACAAATAGACCAAAAATCAAAATGTCCCATTTGAATTTAAAAAAAATAAGGCAACCACTCAACCAATGGGATATAGCTTAATTTTAGTCTACATAGCCATATAATAATAATAATAATAATAATAATAAAATTCACTTGAAACATCATAAAATTATGTTAAATATGTTTTTTTTTATCTAAATTCAATATTCTGAATTTTATTAGATATAAAATTAAATTATATATATAATATATCAATTATCTTCTAATTTTTTTAATATATATCAAGAATTTTAAAAATAATTTGTTTTTTTTTTCATTTTTAATAAACGATTTATTATTTATTAGTGATGCTTGACAAAATTGACTCATTTAATGTCTTCATTCAATGTTAAAATTCTCTTTTTTTTTTTATTTAATATTTGAAATTTTATTTTGATTTATGTAGTTAGAATAAATAATATAAAATTCTTTAAATTTGTTCGAACAATAAGTTAGTAGTCATAAAAGTAATTTAACCGTCGAAGCTTTTAAAGATTTATTCTTTAAATCCTCAAATTTTAAAGATTAAAATAATTTTTTTTTCAAATTAGAGATATAATTGAAACTCGGAAAAGGAAAAGTAAAAAAAAAGTTGTAATTTTTAAATACCAATAAAATAATAAAATTGATAATATTAACGTTGGAACGATAATTATTGTATTTATTCAATAAATTATACTCGGATTGATCCTTAATTAACTTATTGGACGAGCTTAATTAAAATGTAAGATTTATTTAATTTTAATTTCACGATTATAAAAGGAAAGATGAATATTATTGCAAAGCATTTTCTACCATATTCCTTAATTTTGAAGAAAAAAACAACATTTTAGGGATATTTATGTTAATATAATAATATAATAATTAATAATTAATAATTAATAATTATAATAATAATAATATAAAATTTCCGGCTCTATCTGTGTCGCTTTCTGGCAGCGGTTCGACCATGCCGTTGATTATCGACTTTATTCTTATTTCCAAATGTACCCCTCATCTTCTCCCTATTTTCCATTTCAGCCCAACCAAAAAGTTACACTCTCTTTCTTCTCTCTCAGTCTTGGATTCTTTTGCTGGTCGCTGCTGCAGCTCTCTCTCTCTCTCTCTCTCATGGCGGCAGCCATTAAAGCTCATCTTTAGAGCTAAATGCTCTTTCTTCTTTAGGTTTCTTCTTCAACTTTTTACTTGGAGTTTCGAGCTCATATTTTGGTGGCACAAACCTGCTTTTCTGTCTTTCGGTATGTTCTGTTTCTTTCTCATTTCCTTTTGTTTGTTGTTCTGATCTCTCTTTTAAGGCTAATTCCTTGGTTTTTGTATTGTACTTGTTGAGTTTCGTTTTTCTGATCAGGTTTTTTGTTGCAGCCATGAAGTCTTCGACTAGGCTTGATTCGGCTACTTTTCAGCTCACACCTACTCGAACCAGGTTTGTTCTTGCCTTATTATTTGAGTTAATTTACAATTGTTTGCAATGTTTGAAGAATTAGATTAGATTTTACATGCTTTTGATTTCTTGTCAATAGTTCTGATGAACTTGATGAACTTCTTTGCTTCAAGCGATCTGCTATGCCGCGCTCGGCTTTAGAAGGCAATTCACGGTTTTAGTATTTCAGCTTTGATTAGTTCTTGGTGCATAATATTTGGATTTTGTTAGCATTCTAACCTGCTATTATGAATTTCTTCTAGTTTTTTTTCTTTGTTTAAGGATTTATCTGTTAAGATTGTAGCAGCATTTTTACTTGTGTAAACATTGAATCATTGAACTCTTTAGTGATGGTGAACCATCTCTCTTTTTCTCCCACTAAAATCAGGTGTGATTTGATTCTATCTGCGAATGGAAAGTCTGAGAAGATAGCTTCGGGTTTGTTGAATCCTTTTCTTGCCCATTTGAAGACTGCACAAGAACAGATGGCCAGAGGTGGTTATTCCATTATTCTTGAGCCAGACCCTCGCAGTGATAGAACATGGTTCACAAAGGGTACCATGGAGAGGTAGTATTGATATTATGAACCTACATTTCTTCCATTCATAAATATACATCAATATTATTCTCACTAAGTATGTGTTTCTACTTGTAGTATTTATTGTTGATGATTATTGGGAGAGGAGTCCCACATTACTAATTAAGGGGTTGATCATGAGTTTATAAGTAAGGAGTGATTCCAAAGAAGGAGTCGAGCCTCAATTAAGGGGAGGCGGTTCGAGGGCTCCGTAGGCCTCAGGGGAGACTCTATGGTATACTTTGTTCGAGGGGAAAATTGTTGAGGATTGTTGGGAGAGGAATCCCACATCGGTTAATTAAGGGGTTGATCATGGGTTTATAAGTAAGGAATACTATCTCTATTCGTATGAGGCCTTTTGGGGAAGCCAAAAGCGAAGCCATGAGAGCTTATGCTCAAAGTGGACAATATCATACATACCATTGTGGAGGATCGTGATTCCTAACATTTATTGCCTCTGGAACCAATATAAATGTGTCCATATTAAGTGCCTAACGAGTAACATCTGTTGCAAATTTTGTTTAAAAGATATAAGCAAAATTTATTTGCGTAAATCATCTTAGGTTCGGCCATGTGTTACTCAGCCTTAGTATTGAGCTTTTTTCTGGGCAATTCATGTTATACTGACCAATTTCCACCTTTAGGTTTGTCCGATTTGTAAGCACCCCTGAAATCTTGGAACGGGTGTACACTATTGAATCAGAGATCTTACAAATTGAGGAGGCAATCGTGATTCAGGGCAACAGTGACATGGGACCAAATGTTGTAAGTATATTCTAACATATTATTAATACGCATCATGTTCACCCAAAAGGTCCATCTTTCAGTTCAGTTTCATTCAACAGGTAGATGACAAGCAAGGAAAGCCTACAAAGGCTAACGAAAGCGCCACCGAAGGTTCTAAAATCAATGGAGGCATGTAGAATATTTTTTCATTTTCTTAACATAGATTATATTTACATTTGAGTTGACATCCTGATATTGGATAATCAAAATATTGTCATTGCTTCTTAGTCTTTTCTGTTTTACTCTATCTTCTTTCAGGATGAGTTACTACCATATTTGAATATGAAGCGAAAGTTCTGTTTACTAAGTTGATATCTATGTACCTTAAATACTGTGCAATTTTTAACAACTAAATTGATTTATGTGGTCTTTAACAGCAAGCAAGCCTCTTCTGGATGGTAACGAGGAAAAAGCCATTGTTCTATACAAGGTAAGTGGTACTCAATTATGCTCTTGAGCTAACTAAATTTCACATCTTTATTTTAATTTTCTTTGTTAAAAAATCTGGCAGCCTGATGCAAAATCATTGGAGGGCAATGGACATATGATGTCAGAGGAGAACTCAAAGTACATACCATCCTCGACTTAAATAGATTTGTTATAAAATTTAGCCTAGTGAACAATTGCAAATACTCACTTAGAATTTTGAATACTAATATACATATGGATGCCTATTGCAAGCCTTGCCTAGATGTAACAATAGCTAACAACACATAATCTCATGTGGCAACTTCGACATTCTAATATGTAATTTGGTTCCATTTTTCACACTATTTTTCATGTTTTTTTTACCTTATATGATTGATATTAGAGAATTTGATCGCATCTTTCAAAGCAATTCTCCCCCGCAAATCCCTTGCATAGAAAGGACTGATCACAATTAGGTTCTTCTCAAGTTGTTGCCTCTCTTTTAAACCTCTTCACTTCCATATCACGGATGCAAAGGTCCTCCCACGATTTATTTGTTCAAACTATTTTGCAGAGTTGAATCTCCTTCCATCATTTTTTTCCCTTTCCATGACACAAACAAATAATAAGTTTGCTAATAAAGAAGTAAATTAAAGTATGTCTGGTGTTGTCCTCCTTTAGGGTAAGGATAATTATGCAATGAAATTTCACGACTTTGCTGTGAGTATTTTTAATTTCCTTTAATCCATTAGAGCCCAGCTTCTTAAAGTCTTGGAGACACGCAAAACTATGCTGCAAAAGGAGCAAGGAATGGCTTTTGCTCGAGCTGTTGCTGCTGGTTTTGACATTGATCGGTTGTCACCCTTGATATCATTTGCCAACAGCTTTGGAGCCTCACGATTGATGTACGCAGAGATTCATATTTCTAGCTAACCAAAAAATGTTAATGTTGACATCATATTTCTTGCAGTCACTCATTGTGTGAATAATTTGCTGCAAACAAATAGGGATGCGTGCATAAAATTCAAAGAACTGTGGAAAAGAAAGCATGAAAGTGGCCAATGGCTCGAAATTGAAGCAGCAGAAGCACTGTCCAGCCGAGCAGACTTTTCCCCTTCCATGAATGCATCAGGCATTATACTTACAAGTATGACTGACAAGCAGACAGAATCTAGAGAAGCATTGTCTGAATCTCAAAGCGAACCATCTCCGACAAATAAGGGGAATGCAAGTGCAGGTGTGATATGGCAACATTGGGAATCTGATAAAATTTGGTTAAATTATGTATTCTAAACTGAAGCGTCCTAATTTTTGTCTTAGACTTAAAATGTCCATGCAACATCATTATATTTGTGACAAAGTAAAAGCCATGGGACTATAGAGTGTCGATCAATAATTGAAGTTGTTTTTACAGTCTCCTGATTTTTTATCAAATCTATAGACTAAGAAACACTAGCGATACTACATGTCTGGCTTATACAATGCTACTTGTTTTTACTCTTTTCAATTTTGGGTTAAAAAATTTTTTGTCACTCATTTTCCCAGATGGTAATACACGGACACCTATGATGTACCAGTCACCACCAGGCCACCAGGAGTATCTTCATGGGCAGTATCCTCATCATGTCTACCCTCCCTGGCCCATCAATTCTCCTCCAGGTGCATTACCTGTCTTTCAAGGATACCCCATGCAAGGAATGCCTTACTATCAGAACTATGCAGGGAGTAGCCCATTCTTTCATCCACATTATCCAGTAACAGAGGATTCTCGCCCGGGTGATGGTAAAAAAATGGGAGGCAAAAGGCACTCCATGGATAGTGGAGATAACTTGATGGAACCAGAGGCCTGGGAGTCGAATGCTTCAGAAACAAGAACACCAGATGATGCAGAATCAGAGCAAGAAGCTTCAGAAGATCTAAGAAAAGCTGGTCGATCAGGTAAAAAGAAGTCGAGTGTGGTTGTCATCCGCAACATCAACTACATTGCATCGAAGAGGCACAACTCATCAGGCAGTGAAACAGATTCACGGTCTGATAGTGAAAGTGGTGAAGATGGAGATTCACAGGCTATTAGTCCGGAACTTAAACACAAGAAATTACCTAGATCGTCAAGGAGCAAAGGAAAACATCTAAATTTTGGAGATCAATCAAATACTTCTGCAAAAACTGTTTCACCAGAAGCAGATGGACATTGGCAGGCATTCCAAAGCCTTTTACTTCGGGATGCTGATGGGGATAAACATCATGCTGATCAAAGCCTGTTTACCTTGGAAAGGGAGACGAAGCAGAAAAGGCAACAAAATAAAGTTGGTGATGATCCATTGATTGCTCAAGGATGGAACAAAAATGAAATCCGAGAAAATGGTGCTACAGACATTGATCGAGTTGGTGGAAGAATCAACCGCATGTCAAGAGCACCAAATGATGAATTATTAACTTCCAGAGGAGATGGTCATTTGAACGTGCAGGCTACAGAACTAGATGGAGGAAGAAATGGCTACAGGAGGCCTGGTAGTGATGATTTTATAGTTTATGGACAAAAAGGTCAAACTCATTCTAACGCTTACTTGGATCCATTAGCTGCAGGTGGCTTTGATAATACAAAAATGAGTTATGATAAAAGTTCTTCAAATAATTTAGATGGTGATTCTTACATAGTTACATTAAGATCGACATCAATGGATGCAGTAGGAAAGGAAGGTAGAAGTGCTGTTGACATGGATTCTGAGTTTCCATCTTCAAATCGTAAGGCAGAAAACTTGTCCAATAGAGTTGCTGACTACGAGCCAGATGTACTGAATCTGGTGCCAAAGCGTGAAACAGAAGACGAACCTGCTGGCGGCTATGATCCTGCTTCAGAATATGAAATGCAAGTCCACGCTGGACGTGTACAAGCTGTGAATAAAAAGAAGGAAATGGTGACTGATGTTAAACAAGGGACTATTAGGTTGGACAATGATCGAAAGCCAAAAGTTACTCCTGACAGAAAAACTGGGGGGCCAATAAGGAAGGGAAAGCCATCTAAGTTGAGTCCTTTAGATGAAGCACGAGCACGTGCTGAAAAGCTAAGAAGTTATAAAGCTGATCTCCAGAAATTGAAGAAGGAGAAGGTATCATATTAGAAATGTTTTTCTTCATGTAAATTATTTTTTTTTCCAAGTCATGTCTCAAAAGTTGCAGAGTCTTTTTTTTTTTTTTTTTTTTTTTTGCTAGTTTGTTCAGGA